TCACTATCACTATTGACACTCTGTATTCGAAAATTCTTGGAAACATTGAACAGGTTACCAAATATATAGCTTTTGCATGAACTAGTCTCTTTAATACATAGATTATTAGTTATTCCATTAACGCCTTCCACTACAACTACCACATGGGGCTACCATTTATTAATGAAATGTAAATGACCACTTAGCCCCGAATAGACGGCGAACGTATATCGAAAGAGAGGCAGGTACTAATTAGATGTATGCAGCAGGAAATCGAAACGCCTAGCACAGTTGCGCTCGGCATATGGAAGGAAAAAACCCGATCAAAATGGGATCCTCGCACCTGTTATCCAGACGGCTTTGTATTGCTGTATTGCCAAATAGTCCTTTATTGAAATTGGTCATTCCTCCTACTTCTTTTATATCTTGTTTTTTCTTATATTAATCAATGCACACCAGTGACGCCTCAAACGACTGAAACTTTGCCACTGACGTGCAGGAGATGAAAAAACGTCAGGATCGCCAGCAAACTGACCACGAGACAATGTGATATTGGTCAAAGCAAATGAAAAAGTTGCCAGCTGCACAGCTGGAAAAATGTGCTAAAATTTTAACTGATCAAAGCATGCAAGCAATAACTGGCAAAATATTCAGACTGTATCAATTAGCAATATTTAGCTTTTCAAATGGCTCATTAAGTTTAACTATGTAAGGTGATGTTTCAGGGGACAATGCAAGGAGTGTTTCTTTTTGGTCAAGATATTATTAGTGTTTGCGGCCCACTTGTTATCGCGTAAGTTCTACGGATTACAGAGAGAAGTGACTAAGCTTAATCGCAGAAAACACGCTAAAAACCGACAAATTAGTTGCTACAAGCAGAAGTATGCATACTGCCAATGAGGTGCGGGTGGGAAGGAAGAGGGGAAGGGAGGAAGGAGGAGGAAGACCAAGAAATGAAAGGTGTATTCTCTCTCAAAAGTGAGTCAGATGTGCAGTAGACGAGCTGCCAGGCTTGTCAAAATGCACAGAAGCCGGTGGTGTAGTGGGTAGCATGTCGCGTCCGAATGTGGAGTAGTTCGATTCCCTATTGATCCATAATCGTTTTTGACAAATGATTCGTCCACACCAAGCTCGCCTTTTTTGGTCTTTTCTAAAAGAGGAATCAAGGTTTTTTGAGTAAACCAATTTTTCCGGAAAATGTCGATTTATATGGGTGACCTTTGATTAGACAGCCAGTGGCTCTCTCTTTTTGAGGCTGATAGCGCCTTGACTCTCTGGCATATGCATATATCAATTTTCCATTAGAATATAAGAGCAGATAATAAAAATATTGGTTGCCGGTTCCATATTACAGTAGCTAACAGCAAAGCTATTTGATTTTGACTGGACAAAAATTTTCAGGCCAGCGTTCACGGGTTCGGGTCAAAAATACATTTGGTTAGTTGTTGGTATTCTTATAGCAGCTGTTTGCATACGATGGATTTCAATCTACAAAAAGTTACCAAAATCTGAAACAGTCGCCGGCAAATGGCTGAAGAAACGGCGTTTGTCAACCTGAAATCTCTAGCCAGCGGTATTCAAGTAGTGCCAGTCAGTGCCTGTTACTGGATCGGAACAACAAATGCAGGCATGTGAGATCTCAATAAAATCTGGAACCACGCGATACTGAATATGGAAAACAGCATCCGAAGAAGCATCGTATCAACAACCAGAATTAGTCCTCGAACAAAATTTAGCGAATAAAGCGAAATTTAGATTAGAATTTTCATT